AGACCGGCACTAGACCGGGACTAAACCAGGACTGATCCAGTGTCATTAGTGGAGCAAATATATACGCCCCAATTGTCAACCCGATCTCCTCCGCTGATGTTTTATGTCATAAACAGACTCTTATCAGTCTGGTCTGACATTGTTTTGGGAAAAGACCAGGACTGGGCACTTGTTTCCAGGGCAACGGACGCACGTCAAGTATTTTTCTACCGTTCGTCCACGGCGGCAAAAACAAGCGTCGGGGGGCTCTAAACTCAAATGCAAAGGCGTCCAAATAGAGGCGTCAAGGCGTTTTTTGAGGCTTTGGTGTGAACAGCCCTTTCCACATCCCTATTTACCCGGGACAGTCCCACTTTTGAGCCTTAAGACCCCTGTCCCTGCCGATTTATCCAAAACCACTGATTTGTCCCAGTTTTTCAGAAGAAATGTCCCAGGTGTCCCTATTTTTGACCAATCTGATCCCTGCCAGCAGTAAAGACAGGCATACATTGTCATTTGTTTATGTAAAATTCAGAAAAGCTGCTTAAAATCAACCAAAACACAAAGAAAATGTGACTATAGTGACTCACATTAGTACTAATTTTTCCTTTATTTCGCACTTCTTTCACAGTTTTATCATTACCAACCACCACAAACCAAGGATGTCCCAGTTTTTTATTTTGAAAAATCTCGTCATCCTACTTCTGCCGTCATCGTAATGCTGTCAACTAGCAGGTTAACAGTGCACTTTCTGATTCTCGATTAAAATGTGAAGAACAGAACTGGTTTATTTGAAACAGTTTGCCGTGGTCCAAAGTTCTTCCCCACTTACCTTCCTAATTATTCACCACGATGATTATATAAGAGGCGCTTTTCACAACTTTCAGGGAGAGTTCAGAGTAATGTCAGCAACTAGCATGCTAACAGATGCACATAGCACAAAGCGGTCTCAACAAGCGGTGAAAAACAGAAGTAGTTCAGTTTAAAGGGTTTGCAATAGTCTAAAGTTATTCCTCCTTCCCCTTATTATTTCTTAGTATTAACCCTTCTAATTATTCACCTAATGCTGACATCTAGCATGCTAATTGCACACTTCCTGATTCTTGGTTTAATAGTAGATGCAGACAGCGTTTGGTGGTAAATCTGTACTGGAGCTGAAATACACAGGAAAACCAGCAACTTGAATAGGCTATAAGTAAATGAGCAGTTATATAAATGATTAATCATAGGACCCTTTAACACTTCAGAATGCAAACTACTACTTTCATTACAGGCCTTATATTACACAAAACCCACTCTTATGAGCTTTTGTTAGAATGTTTTTTTACCTCCTGAAAAACAGACGTGAAGTTTTGTTTTGATTCATTCACACGTTTGAGTAATTCTGGATTATTAGCCTATCTACATGAGCCAGGCTGGTGCCACCTAGTGCCTTTGCTCAATTTAATTTCTCTCCAGGGATTAGTTCAGGAATCAGAATACACTTGCAAGAACCCTAGACGTGTGAGTCTGGGCAATCAGCCAATCAGCAAAGAGCCATACATTCTGTGTTGGCAACGATTCCCGAGATCGAGGATTTAAAACCGAAACAAAGCAACTGTTCAATGAATTTTAGCAAGGGAAAAGACATTATTGTCCTTCTTCCCACGGGATTTGGGAAAAACTTAATATACCAGTTAGCCCTGTTAGTGACTAGGGGTGTGCAAAAATATCGGAATATCGATATATCGTATCGTTTAATGTGATGATACAGTATCGATATCGTGGGCAGCTGTATCGATATATCACCAAGAGTATTTTTAGGTGTGTTTTACAAAATTATTTTGTTACAGAGCTACAGTTTTGTTGCTTGTGGAGTGAAAGGAAGCTCATTTATGCGACACATTTGACATTTTTACTGTTTTGATGATTAAAATGTTTGTGTTTCATATGAACTTTGCACAAGAAGTGGTTTAACAAAGACTTTTAATATCACAGCCACGATTTAGCCTTTATTTTTTATTGAACCACATCGAATCGATTTGAAATATATCATATCGAATCGAAAGTGCACTGTATTGAGATATGTATCGTATCGTGGCCTGTGTATCGAGGTATGTATCGTATCGGCAACTTCTTAATGATACCCAGCCCTATTAGTGACGCATTACATACATCACGAGCAAATAGCAGCAATGGGTTAAATTAAAAAAAGTACCCGCCTACCTTTGAGCGAATGAATCCTAATGCTGCGAGGTCAGACGGTTTCCACTAAGTGAAACCGGCTGATGAATCAGGCTTTATCTACATCTCCAAAAGCTCGAAACGCTCTGTTCCACCTTGTGATGTCATGTAGTTGTAGTTTTCAGTAGTTTTTTTTTTTTTTTTATAGCTACCTTTTACCTAGGAGATTGGAAATTCCAGGGCTGAAATGATCCAAATGATTCTAGTGCAGGTGTATAGAGTTTAAAAACACAGTGGAGTACTTCCTGTATCACAACATGACATCACAGATTGGAGCGTTTTTTGTTGGAGAGAAGAACTCAGCCTAAATAAGCAGGGTCTGACATGTGCAAATGAAACAAAAACAAACACAACTCCAGGTCTTTTTGTGACGAGGAAACAACATTATTAGTTAACAGATAAAAAAAATAGCGTAATATGGGCCCAGCAACAAGGCTTGTTATTGGCAAAGGAAAAGGCGTTCATTTCATCTTTTGACATGTTGCTCGTGATCCAAACATATTCCCTGATGTACATTTTTGGCTTGGATCTCGCTCTCTTTCACTATCCAATTAGCAACATTTATGCTAGCAGCTCCTTGTCATTGTTATTCCTTGTAAATCACGATCTGTTTGACATTTGGATTGGGCTGATGAAAATTCAGTTGTTCAGAACGTGCTCAGAGAACTTGAATTATCCTAGAACAGTTGGAAAACACAGTAAAATACGAATATTGGAAGTAGGGGACACTGTGAAAGTTTTCTTGTGGAGGGCCTGTCACCTGCTTGAATAGTTTGGATTGTTTTGAGCTGTACTATGGAAGATTTTCAGGTAAAACTGACCTCCAGACCTTCCAGAAGAAAACATATGGTCACACTTTAGTTTAGAGATCTCTTAACTAAGTGGTAATAGGTATGAGAGAAGTAGTTTTTTTTTGTTTTTTTGTTAGTTGTTTTTTTGCCAATGCTCTATCCTGTTTTATTCCATACTCACCAAAATCATTAGTGAAGATATATGCAGGGCTTAATGCTCAATTCTTCTTTTTTTTTTTTTTTTGTGTGAAATCAGACTTTTTTGCGAGGTCATTCACATTTCCAATTAAATGCGACTTGTATGTGATCTCCAGTGTGAACTTTAAAAGCCCCAAAGTGTCCCGCATGCGGAAGTCGCCTAAACGCTGGGCTTGTTTCCCAAAATACAATCCAAGTTCTTCGTAAAATGGACAGGTTACACATCCACAGCCGCTTCGTTTGTTTAAGTCTTTAGCCTCCTTGTATTCAGTGTTGGGAGTAATGCAGTATAAAAGCAACAAATTACTGTAATGCATTGCTTTTTGCTGTAACGCAGTAATGTGGCATTACAAGGAAAAAATAATATTTTACTCGGTACAAATGTCAGTAACGTGTGTTACAATGCTTTTTTAACCTGGATTGAAGTGGTGGGTTTTTCTTCATACAAATTCGCTAAAATCACAGCGATATCAGCAGCGGTGAAACACCAGAGACGCGACCGCGTAGACCTTCAGGTAACCGCGGGCGAAAGGAACGACGCAAAACTCTGCGCAGTTTAGACCTGGGCCAGTTCTGGATTAGACCTGGTTTAGTCCTGGTTCAGTTCATATACGGCGTAAAAGTTCAGCATCATATTTTGGTGAGAGTAACTTAAAAGTGCTGCAATAGTAATATAATGCCTTACATTTTAAATGCAGTAATATTGTAATGTAATGAATTACTTTGAAATGACAGTAAAAAGTTATAAATAACGCATTACAGTTTTAAAGTAACTTGTCCAGTGCATAGTGCTTTTATTTGGCTCACAGGCTCTTTTTTTGTATTATATATGAATTACCTCTCTAACCTCGCTTTCCCTCCATTGACTGGACTCCGAGCCTGACATGTAGTTGGGATGAATGCGCTTTGGCCGTTCAGACTGAAGTCGCATGTCAAAAGATCAAATATGTATCGGTTTTAGGAGCACATATCCAAGTGTCCTGGGTCACATTTGAAAACATCGGATCTGTGTGGTTCAGACTGTCATTAAAAGATCAGATACAGGAGCATAGAGGCCAAAAAATCAGATTTGGGTCACTTCAGGCTGCAGTCTGAACGCAGCCTTAGATCATTTCAGACTTGGATTTGAACTTTCATGTTACAGCTATTGTTTTGAGCCTCACTGAAACTGCTTCACTCCTCGAAGCACCAGCAGAAATTAGAGACTTAAACTGACAAAATTATACAAAAGGTAAATCAAAACTATAAAAAATAAAAGCAACAATTTAAATTTAAAGGGACCATATGACTCTATTTTGTGAACTATGTTATAATGCGTTTCCTCATCACAAACAGACCTGGTGTTGTGTTTTGTTTCATTCACACATGTTTAACACACAAATCCTGCACATTTAAGCTGAGTTCTCTCAAAAAGAAAACACTCTGTTCCACCTTGTGATGTCATGCGGTAATACAGGAAGTGCTCCACTTAAACTCTATAAACCTTTACTAGAATCATTTGGATTATTTCAAAGGTAACAAGTAGCTTTTAACTTGAAAACTACCACTAAATGACATCATAAATTGGATCAGAACATTTTGAGCTTTGGAGATGAACATGGACTAATCATAAAGGGTTACTCAAGTGTGTGAACGAAACAAAACACAACTCTAGGCATGTTTTTGATGAGGCAACGACATTCTAGCACGGTTTAAAGCTCACAAGAGTCAATATAAATTCTAAATATGTCCATCAAAATATAATTAGCTCACTCTAGTCGCTATATTAATGTGTATTTATTGCTTGAGCGTTGCATAAGCTGGTCTCACCCTGTTGGAGTCCACCCTGGGCCTCGCGGAGTAGGACGGAGGGGGTAGGTTGAACCCCTTCGGCACCAGATACTCTTCGGCGTCCATCAGCTCGTCCAAATCTTCCTCGTCCAACAGGCTCTGGAAGAACTTGCTGTCATTCGGGCTGGGCAGCTTCATGCGGTCATCCCCCTGCGACCGGCGAGAAAAAAAAAAAAGAATCAGTCTAGTGAAATTCGGGGATAAAAAAACGTTGAAATATTGATGGAGAAATAGTACCCACTTGAATGACCAGGTAGCGCTGGGGGTCACGCGCCATTCGGCAAAACTCGGCGGCCAGCTCCTTAAACTTGGGTCTGCTGTCTGCGTCAATCATCCAGCCTGAGGAGAGAAGAGAGAGAAAGGGAGCGTGAGAGAAAAAGAAAAGAAAAACTTGATGGAGAAAAGTTTGGTTTAAAAATAAGAGATTGTAACTCCAACCTGTTATTTTCGTCCATTGTAAAAGAACACAATAGTGATGTAATTATTATCATTATGACACTGGAAAACATGCAAGATTTTCACGGATACGCTTTGAAAAATAAAAGATCGGCAACTTCATCGTGAACAATGGTTGGCTTTTTTGAAACGACGGTGTGATAAAATGCATTTGTTGCGTACATTGTGAAATTACTGAAATTATTTAGTGTCTCGTTGTAAATCCGATGCAGCGATAACAGCTAAGAGCCAAAATTGAAAGGAAAAATAATGTTATATTTGAAAAACTATTAACTCCCTATGTTCTGGCCTATTTTCCCTAAAATGTCTGACTCTCGTTTCAAACTGAATCTGTGTCTGAACCCTTTGGAGCACAAACAACTGGCTGGACTCTTTGTGAAGCCGAGACTCTGCAGTTTTGGCTTCTGTCTGATCTATTCTCATTATAAGTGGGAACAAGCGCAACAAAGAAGAAAGTCAGATTTCAAATTTCGCCTGAATTACTTGGGATAAACATAAGAATAGGTAAAGGGTAAATGGTCTCAATGTTTTTCCACACGCAAAGCTCTTTACGTCAGGGAACCGATCACCCATTCACACAAACATTCATACACCAGTGTTCGCAGACACTCGCTCTACCCATAATGTTCATGTCAAAAGTGGGATTAAAACCGCAAACCTTCAGATCACACTTTACCAACTGAGGTATAGTACTGTATATGAGCATTCATATTGACAATTCTCATGTCAAAGCTGAAGTATATTAGCCAGGCTGGTGCCACCTAGTGCCTCTGCTCAATTCCATTTTTCTCCAGCAACTTGGTTAGGAATTGGAATACACTAAACCAGACATGTCAAACTCAGGCCCGGGGACCAAATTTGGCCCGCAATATAATTATATTTGGCCCACAAGATCATATCAAATATGGATTAGAGCTATCCGCCGGCTTCAGATAGACTACAGAGACATTATTTATTTAAAATGTGGTTATTATTTTATATTATACTTGTCCTGGATTCAATGTTTAAGCAAAACTATTTTTAAACATTTATTTTAATAAGAAAAGGTTAAACATTACATATCTCGAAAGAAGAGAAAATATGTTGCTGAAATTTTTCAGTAAATATTTAGTTTGGCCCACGATTTAGTCCCAGTTTTTAATTTTGGCCTCTATGAATTTGAGTTTAACACACCTACACTAGACGGTTTGCAAGAACCCCGGAAGTTGTAGAACACGCACCGCCCAATCAGCAAAGAGCTGAACCAACCTGAGTTGTGATAGCAGACTGCATACGCTATCTACCTTTGGACTTCCTTTGTCAAATACAAACTTTGCATTTTTTATTGTACCTTTAATTCGCAAGTTCACCTCAAAGAAACAACAATGATCAATGACAGACATGTTCACTCTCTGCTTTGTTTGCTGTTGTGCTGGCAATTACTTGGACACCACTGAGAGTTCCGGCGCATTACATACGTCATGACCAAATAGCAGCGATTGGTTAAATAAAAAAAGTACCCGCCTACTGTTGAGCAAACTAATTCTAATGCTGCGAGGTCAGACGGTTTCCACAACATGAAACCGACAGATGAATCAGGCTAGAAGCACATCACACTAAAAATGAGATTCTGGAACTTGTAATTAGGTAAAAAAAAAAAAATAAATCCAGACAGAAATAACATAAAAGTCCTTTCAAGTTTTATGATTATTTTGTTTATTTTAGTATTTGTAGGTTTGGAGAAACTGGTCTAGATTGCCGTAGGTGCGCAGGAAGAACACCCCCCGTGTAATTTCAGTACAAAGTATAAAAATAGGAGAACATAGGGAGTGGTTGGCTAATAGCTGCAGAGTATAACGACGCTGCTGTGCTCTTGATGATTATGGTCATATCTAATTGTTTGTTTCTGTTTGCGCGAATAAACTTTTTGAAACTGTCAAATCTGATGTGAATAAATTTAAGCTTAGCAATACCTAGCAGAGTGGATACAGCAACAAAACACAGACAAATCAGAGCGGGTGCCAAATCGGGCAAGGACAATCTGTTTAGCTTGGTCGCTCTAATTTCAACATGAAGCTTCTCTCCATGCTAGCACTTAGCCCATTTAAACACTGCACGATTAGCATGCTAATCACAACCTCTTTTATCTTCAGTGGGGACTGTCATTACCCATTCTGGCACCCGGTCCAATTTGGCACCTTTTTTATTGAACTAAATTCACTCTTTGAACGTGTTTATTATGTGTTCTGACGCCGACGCTAAACACATGGAAAACAGTCACATTTTAATACAGCGCTTTTCCACCTTCAAGGCACTCAACGCTTTTTACATCAACAAACCGCTCAACCATTTGCGCACGCATTCGCACACCAGTGTACGCAGGGGAGTTAAGTGTCTTGTCCAAGGACACAACAACAGCGTTTATCGGCGGGAGCTGGAATTGCATCTGACTGATCAACCAGTGACGTTTATGTCGAGACTGGGATTCAGACTACGGCTGGGTATCATTAAGAAGTTACCGATAAGATACATACCTCAATGCATAGGCCATGATATGTTACATAACTCGATACAGAGGCCACGATACGATACATACTTTGATACATATGCCATGATAAGTTACATACTTTGATACATAGGCCACGATACAATACATAAGCCACGATTCGATACATACCTTGATACACAGGCTGTGATAAGTTACATACCTCGATACATAGGCCACGATACAATAATACCTCGATACATAGGCTACGATACAATATATAAACCTCGATACATCAGCCACGATATGATACATACCTTGATACATAGGCCACGATACGATACATACGTCGATACATATGCCACGATACGTTACATACCTTGGTACATAAGCCATGATATGATACATACCTCGATACATAGGCTACGATACAATATATATCTCGATATACAGGCCACGATATGATACATACCTTGATACATGGGCCACGATACGATACATACGTCGATACATATGCCACGATACGTTACATACCTTGGTACATAAGCCATGATATGATACATACCTCGATACATAGGCTACGATACAATATATATCTCGATATACAGGCCACGATATGATACATACCTTGATACATGGGCCACGATACGATACAAACCTCGATACATAGGCCACGATACGATACAAACCTCAATACATAGGCCACAATGCGATACATACCTTGATACATAGGCCACAATACGATACATACCTTGATACACAGACGACGATACAATACATACCTCGATACATAGGCCACGATACGATACAAACCTCGATACATAGGCCACGATACGATACACACCTTGATACATAGGCCACAATACGATACAAACCTCGATACATAGGCCACGATACGATACACACCTCGATACATAGGCCACAATACGATACATACCTCGATACATAGGCCACGATACGATACATACCTCGATACATAGGCCACGCTATGATATATATCTCAATACGATACATTTCAAACCGATTCGATACAATTCAATAAAAAATAAAGGCTAAATCATGTCTGTGACACTAAAAGTCTTTGTTAAACCACGTCTGAAAAGAAACTAACATTTTAATCCTCAAAACAGTGAAAATGTCAGATGTGTTGCATAAACAAGCTTCCCTCCTCTGAACAAGCAACAAAACTTTAGCTCTGTAACAAAATAATTTAGTAAAGTCAATCTCAATACTGTATCATCACATTAAACGATATAATATTTCGATATTTTTGCACACCCCTAATTCAAACCACCAACCTGCAAATCATTGGACAAACACTGACAACAAGATACTGTCGCCCAAAGCCTATTGCAAAGCTCAAATGCCTTCATGTATTAAATGATACAAACATTAAATGTATTTATATCAGAGTTTGACAAGTTCACCGCATTTATTCTTAGAAATAGAAACAAAAACAAATCGTGTTTGCCCATAACCATTAAAGTTAGCCCTTTTACTGAAGTCAGACTTAAATCAGCTCTGCTCTGTTTTCTACATTTACATATTGTGCTAGTACAGTTATAATCTATGACACCCGCAGTGTTTCCTGCAGTGCTTTATAGTTAAGGCCTTGACAACGAGTGGCCCCCGCCTTGACTACGTCCCTCTGCTCCTAACATTTTTTAAAATATTCATGATTTTTTATGGTATTCATATTCATCTAAAACAACTTAAGAAAGAAACAAGTCCAATAGAAAGAAACAAGCCCAAAAGGAGCTGATCTCGCCACAAATTTTTATGAACTATAACATCAACCTGCCCAGGGACGACCTTTGAAATTAGCACTGGCGTTATAACCTGGTACAATGGATCTCTCCTGTTAAGTTGAATGTATATTGTGCACTGTCCCTGTCTCATTAAATAAATAAACTAAACTAAACTACACTAAAAATGTCAACACAACAAAGTGCTGTGTAGCTGTTGACACCTCCGATGGATAGCTGCAGATCACAAGTGCAAAAATATATAAAAATATAAAAATAATTGTACCAAAATATCATTGGCATATCTTATGTGTATCACCAAATAAGAAAATAAAATTGGAGAATGAAGTAAGTGGTGAAAACGATGAAAAAAACTGTTTTAAATAAATAATTTTCACAAACTTCACACAGTTTTTATTATTTAAACAGCTAAGATCGAACAAATCTCAAAAATTTGGTAATAGTAGTAACCAGCGATTGCACCAAAGTATCCGGGCACATACCGCTGGAAAAAAAAGAATGTTTACAGATGGAAAAAAAGCACGTACAGGTGGAAAAAAGGTATGTACAGCTGACAAAAAAGTATGTATAACTGGAAAAAAACATGAAATTGCTAGTTGCCACCACCCACATCTGCAGCGACTACCTCAAACTACTTCCAAATACACATGATT